TAATCTATGCAGAAATAGAAGTATAATCATGTACACCTGAAATTTATACAATGTTATAAACCAATGTTACTGCAATAAACAAAAAATTAAAAAAAAAAAAAGATTTGTCATCTTCAATCCTATTACATGCTTCTTCTCTCTAACCTCTGTGGGGGATCAGAATTGGCCACCCCAAAATGTGTCTCTTTGACATGAGGATTATTACTTTTAAAAACTGCAGACATGGGAGAAGCTCTGAAAAGTAAAATTTACCCTTTATAAGAGACATTTACATTTGTAAAGGAAATCTCCATCTGTAAAGGTATCTTCCTCTCCATACCAGGAAGAAGAGGGGATGACTTCACCTCTAGAAACTCTTATCAATGCAGAAGGCAAGGACTTAAATCTGCATAATAACCTTACTCTTGTTTACTGTGCTTTTCTGGTAATCTCCCATAGCTCACTCCCCCCACCCTCAACATCCCCCTTTGTCTTTACCTGAAAATGCTACTTAAGATGAAAACCTCCACCACTCTGGCGAGTTACTCAGTTTTTCCTGGGTCTCTCCCATGTATGCACGTTATAAAGCTTTGTTTGATTTTCTCCTGTTATTCTGTCTCGTGTCAATTTAATTCGTACCTCAGCCAGAAGGATCCAAAGAGGGTAAAGGATAGTCTTCCTCCCCTACACCTCCCCAGATGTATTCTTTCCTCTTTGTTACCTCATTTCACCCAGCTCAGACAAGTACAATGTCCTGCTTTTGGACATCTTTTTTTTCAGAGGCTATCACTTAAAATAATTTGGTGGGAAGCAGCTCTTGCACCCTACTCCCAAACGTGTTCCCCAGAAACATGTTTGCCCTGCACCAAGGCCCCAACCACTGATGCAGAGAAGTCCAATTCAAACACCCGCCTTCAGCTTCAGGGTCGATTCCAAACCCTTACTCTAAGTGCCCCTGACATAGCAGCTTTCTACATCTCTAAACCTAAATGGGGTGATGACACCCCTATTATTGAGTCCCTTAATTGTAATCTCCACTGAAATGTAATACACTTTAGGTGTGTGTAGGGGTGAGGGATGGGAATAAAGAACAGACATTAAACACACACACACACCACCACATGCACACACCACACACCTGATCTCCTCAGCAAAGTACCTTCAAAAGTGAAGAGGAAAGATGTCTTAATATAAAAGAACACAAGGAACTTTTCAAATACACTATACAACTGTAAATATTTTTTGTAATGTACCCCTTTGTCATTTCAATTTCCTTTTCAGCAGTTTAATAATTTTTTAGTTGTAGTTACTTTAAATACAGACTCCTTACTAAATAAATCCCTTTGTTATGAATGGATTTTAAATCCCAAGGAAAATTAATGATGAAATCACCTGAATACCCCAAAACCCAAAGCAAGTGTTAACTTCTAAGGGAGACACTGAAAATGTAAGAATGGTTGATTTTTTTTTCCCCTCCCATTAGGACAGCTTTTTCACAGAATCTTAGACGATGAAGTGACCATGTAAACGCCATTCAAATATAGGCAATTGTCACACCATATACAACCTGGGAAACAAAGGGAGGCCGCTGAAGTCACCTGCAAATCCCACCATCACTGTTTCTCCTGACAGCTGACCAGTCATGGGAACTGAGAACCCGCGGGCCCAGGAAGCTCTTGCCTCCCAGCCAGATGCAGCAGCGGTTTCTATATGGCCCAGGGGTCAGCCTGACACCAGAGCTGCACAGCCCAGCGAGGACGCAAACTCACTCCACCACATGTCCTGCTCAAGCTCATCAGCATCCCCTCTGCCACCCTGCGCGCCCACAGCGGTCTGCCCCACCTTGCTGCACGGGCGAGTAGGCGTTGGTCAAGAAGCGGAAGTGTCCCTTGTTGTACCAGCAGATCAGAGACATGTTCCCCTTCATCCTGATCTGGTGCTGGCCCCGGGCCGGGGGCGTGGTGGGGTTGGTCAGCATGGACGGTGGCAGGCCGGTGCAGTCACTCTTCCTGGCGCTGAGCAGGCCGCAGCAGTAAATCTCTGGTGGGCAGAGGGACACAAGACCACACATTCTCAGAGAGGCCAGCGTTCCCCGCCCTGGGCATGTGCAGGAAAGGACGGGACTGCCCTGTTCTGTGGCCAACGCTTGGGAACGAACCCTCTAGAAGTCCCTCTAGAAGAGACTGCTGAAATCTGGGCACTTTTATCCCAGATCTGCTGCCTCTCCTGGTACTTCCACAAGTATATTTATGATTACACATAAGACCATGATATAAGCAGTGAATCAACAGTAACGATAGGAGCACTCATTCTTAGAGAACTCACTATGTGCCAGGCACGGTGCTAGGCACATGTAACTATCATCACACCTGCTTCCAGAAATTTCTGCACTCAGTAGGTTACTGAACCCACGTTAGAGAAGAGGAACCGTGGCTCAGAGCTGGGAGGGCAAAGATGTCTGTCTGACGTCCAAACCTGACCAGTTATGTCACCCTACCACCTTCACTAAGACTTGACTGGTCGAGGGCTCAGGCCTGTGCCCTTCTGCACAGCACTCAAATGCAGCCGTGCGAGAGGAGCCCCTGTTCCCCAGGGGAGCTCAGTTACATGCAGAAAAAAGAACCATCAAACTACAGGCACTGAACAGCGTCCTGCCTGTGAAGATACTGTGCAGTGTGAGTGGGTGAAAGAGCTTCCTGAGGGAGAAGGAGCTTGAATGCAGCCTCTAAGACCTTGAAGATTCCATGGGGGTGGGAGGAACTGTGAGCAGCGACCAGTATGAACAAGGAGGCCTCTCTCAATCCCACCCGGGCTCAAGGCCTTACCCAGTCCTTCCTCCTCATGGGCTCACCCCTCTCAGCCGGGCCAGGCGGCCACAGGGAGCCCGTCTCCTCAGTCTGAACGCCTAGAGGTGACAAGCAGCAGCACTTTTGACTGAAGATCTTGGGAACGGTCTCATCCTTTGTTGTCTTCTCAGTTCATTAAAGACTGATACAGTATCATCGGTAACTTGAAACATTCTATATTCCACCCAGACACTCTCCTCATCACTGCACCTCCACCCAAGCTGGAAGGATGATCTTATGAATCAGCCTGGCCAGGACCAGGCCTCCCTGAGCCACCTGGTCCCCACTGGAGCAGCAGCAGGTGAGGAATAAGACCCACTGGGTGGCATGTGTGAGTCTCCCTGCCCAAAAGGTGAGGGCTCCCTGCTGCTCACACCTCTACAGATGGAGCCACTCAAACTACTCAAGTCTTGAAATTTAAAATGAAGAACCTGTCGTTAAAACAGAGAGGTGGATTAGATGGAGGACAACGATGTGTCAAATCACCCGTCTGGGGCTCGGTGTACACAGCCAGCCAAAGAGTAGCTGCATTTTTATCAGAGGGGAAGAAGAAAATCCAAACAGCACCCATGTTTTCATGAATCTGCCCCTTGATGAAAGTAGCGATGATTATATGAACATTTTTTCTGGCTGTTAATTCTATAGAGTTGTCTTTGTGCACCCCAGGCAGGGCAGCTAGGCTCTCAGCTCTGACTCCTTTCTTCAACCTTCGCTGCAAATTAGAATCCCAAGGGGGCATCAGAGTCCCTAGGAGAGGAGGGGTGCAGCCATCAGTGTCAGCACGACAGAGAACCACCACCCTAAATGTTAGTTGTCACAGGTGAAGCCCATGAGGCCCTAGGTGAAGAACTCAATAGCTTTAGATGCTTCTAGAAACTAGGCAATGAAATCTCTGCCCACTCTTGGAAAAACTCAAATCCATGTCTAATTATTTTCTTCCTTCTAGAATATTCTCCTCCATCTTCTCCCTAATTCCCTGAGCTGGGGAGTGTCCCCTTCCTCCCAGAATCACAGGCGAGCATGCCCGGCTCTTGGGGAAGCAGCACTGATGGTCTGTGATAGTCCTGTGGCATCCTCCTCAATCTGCACCACACCAGCCCCACCCTGACACACTTGCTACGAGCTCCCCTGACTACACCACCTGACCCTCAGTCCAAGCAATGGCAGCACACATGGTGTGAGGCAGGGAGCAGCCCATAAGGCACACAGACGCTATCAGGGCAGTTCTAGGAACCCCAGAGACTTCATCACCATGCACATGGCACTCACCCTCAGACTTGCACGAGCAGGTGAGTGGGGATGGCTCTCATCACATGCTCTAATATGAGACCCCACCATTCTTCCATTGTGGCTGATTAATGTGCATTAGGGCCAATTTTCTCCAATTAGACTTCCACGGCCCCTCTTCACTTAGTCTGATCCTCCACACTTTAGCCTCTCAACAATTAAACACTGAATCCTGTTGGACACTGGACTTTGTAGATGAGTAAGATGCAGCCCAGGACGGCAGGAGCACAGAGTCCAGGGGCTCATCACAGCTGCTGAGGTCAAAGGTCAGAAGCTATCGGCTCCCCATTGCTTGAGAAGGTTTCATTGTAAGGCGAGACATCTAATCTGTTGCTAAGCAATAGGTCTGCAAATCTACTGGCTGCTGTCGTGAGTGGCGGCTTTTGGTGTTTCTCCTGAGAGGACTAGATATAAATCCAAATGCAGAACAAAGCCAAAACAAATGCAGCTACCACGGGCGCCCTGACTTGGTCCAGGTCTTCTTCTATGGCCCTGATTTCCACCAGAGCCAGAGAGGACTGCCTACTCTTGGCAACAAATGAACCAAGCATCTCAGCACCAAGGGAAACTAAGACCTTTCCCAGGCCCCTTGTACTGCTGCCTCTATTATGCACACAATTCTCTGCAGCATCTACACGATCCTCATCTGCCAGCTGGAAGGGGCCACATTATAGATGGGGTGAGTTCAGGAAACTCCCTATGAGCCTTACTTCATAGGAGCTGTGCCTAGGTGCTACAGACTGAATGTCTATGTCCCCCTCCCAAATTCATATGTTAAAAGCTAATGCCCAAGGTGATGGTTTAGGAGGTGGAGCCTTTAGGAGATGCTTAGGTCATGAGGGTGGAGCCCTCACGCATGGGATTAGTGCCCTTATAAAAGAGACCCCACAGAGCTCCCTTGCCCCTTTCATCATATGAGGACACAGCAGGAAGTCTACCACCCTGCAGAGGCCCCTCACCTAACCATGCTGGCACCCTGACCTCAGACTTCCAGCTTGCAGAACTGTGAGAAATAAATTTCTCTGTGGTATTTCATTCCAGCAGCCTGAACAGACTGAGACATTAAGAGAACTCCTTCTTTAACCATGGCCTTACAACAAAGGACATAAGGAAATGTGCCCTGAAGTCTGGGAAGAGCTTTGTGCCGACATGTCCCCCAGACCATGAGACTGTGACTGGTACCTCTTCAGATCTGTGGCGCCCAGCAGGGTCCAGACACGCAGCAGGCAGAAACCACCTATTCCCTCAGGGAAGGGCCTCCTCACCTAGCATGCTGTGGTCTGTGCTGGCCACTGCACACCTGCACCCCCAGACCTCCCCCACCTCTTCTCCAGGGGAGGGGGGCCGTGCTCAGACTGCTCGCCACTTGACTAACCTTGCTTTTCAAACTCTTCAAACAGGGTCAGGCTGGTGATGCTGGGCCCCGTGAAGATGATATAGTTCTTGCCTGCCGCGTTCCGGCACAGGCTTCTGGCCACCATGCTGTGGAGTTGGGGCTTATTCTTCAGTGCGTCCAGCCCATCTGGGCCCCCGCCTTCCTTCAGGTGGACGTAAATCTTTAACAGAAATACACAGGGGTCAGTGAGCTCACAGCACATCAGGCTGGGAGCACAGCCTCTGTCATTGGGCCGGGAACGTGCAGGAGAGCCACCCCTCCTTGGGACACAGGTTCCATAGTCCCTGCCACCTCGATCATGTCTTCAGCCCCCAGAGGCCCCCAGGCCACTCCCAAGGCCACCCCACAGCCTGGGAAGCTGGTGGCTCAGCCCAGGACTCTTCAGTTGGGAAATGTCAAGCTAGAGAAGCAAAGGACAAACAGTTACAAGTAGTGAATGTGGCCGCTGAGTTCAATGCAAACACAGCCCCCAGTTCTGAAGCACGGGAATGACTAAAGTTTACCATAAATAAAAGTAAAGGCTACCTCACCTGTGAGGAATAACTTATCCTGCACTTTCCATTTGAACACAGCTTTTTAATTCACAAAGCACATCCACAATAATGGTTTCCCTTATTCTTTACAGTACCACCATGCAGACAGAAGAGGTAGAATTCACCTCATATTGCAGAGGAGGAAACAGGATGGAGGCTTAAAGACTCGCCTGAGTCCTAGGACCAGCAGAGAGGATGTGCTGGTCCTAGGACCAGCAGAGAGGATGTGCTGGAACGAGTAAGCAATTTTTAAACTCTTTGTCCCATGAACATCTTCCAGGAACATCATCAAAGGGGCAGGCGCAGGAAACAGGAACAGATTCAAGCAGAGTGTGGTCCTCCCAATGGTTGACTGCGCCATGAAGAATTATCATTTGAGTATTAACTACTGTTCTCCTTTAGGGAGAATGTTCTGGATGCCCTGGCTAGCAGCAGCTCACAAGCTAATGGTGCTCACCTGTGCCTGTCACAATGCTCAGGGACCACAACTGACACTTGGTGGGCAATGAAATTGACCCTGACTGCCCTTCAAGGCACAGAACTGCTGAGCGCAGGACTGTCCACACAGACTGCCAATGACACTTGGCTGAGAAAACTGAGATGGACCACAGGGAGGACCTGGGCATGGCCACAACAGTGGTGCTCGGTCAAATGACTTCAGACAATCACTCGCAAAATACAGCGTCTGATGTTCTTGAGGCAGATGAAGAGCAGGTGAATATAGGTCTAATTCTAAAAGCAGCTCATCTTCTGAGGGCTAATCCTGTCCCAAACACCGCCTGAGCCGTCCTCAGGGAGGACCCTACTTTCCTGCAGCCTGGCAGGCAATGGCTTGATGATGTGGCATGTTTTTGCAGGACTCCAAAGTTTCATTTTGGGGTCTCTCTGCTTTTACCACCTCGATTCCCAGAAGGAATCTCTTTGATACAGATTAAAACACTGAGACAGAGGGGCCAGCCTGGTTGTGTAGTGGTTAAGTTTGCATGCTGCACTTTGGCGGCCCAGGGTTCGCAGGTTTGGATCCCGGGGGTGGACCTACCCACCACTTATCAAGCCATGCTGTGGCAGGCGTCCCACATATAAAGTAGAGGAAGATGGGCATGGAGTTAGCCCAGGGCCAACCTTCCTGAGCAAAAAGAGGAGGATTAGCAACGGATGTTAGCTCAAGGCTAATCTTCCTCACCAAAAACAAAAAAAATACGCACACAAAAAACAGTGAGATAGAGAAGCCAATCATCTCTGCCATGTGTCACATGTATCCTGGCTGAACAATGACATTTTCTCAGAACCTGTCTTCTCTCCTCAGCAAAGCCCAATTCATGTGGCCACTACCCTGGGTTTCTGTATCTGAGGCCAGCTCTGACTCACATCTCTCCCAGATATCCTACCTGAACTCCCATCACAACCACACTCAGCACTGTGCATCCCGAACTCCACCTTAGGGGCAGTTAGTTCTGTCCCATGTGTCACTGGAAAGGAACTCTCCCATATAAACCCAGGATTCTCACTCAGGACAGGAGGTGTGTTATTGGAGCCTCTCAGGCCCAAGACTGATGATCCTCACGTGGTTTCCAAAGGCCTCTCCAAGAGATGGGGGCAGTCACTGGCACGCTCAGCCCCAGGCAGGCAAAATTGAACAGGATTAAATGTAAAATCCTGCAACCAAGTTCAAAAACTTAACTACACCTAATATAGGATGCAAGAAACGTGACTTAGCAAGAATACTTTTAGAAAATAAACAAAAATTAAAACCTTGGAGATGGATGACTGTAAGTCATCAGATGCTGAGACTGGCCAAGAAGGTCCTCAGACCTCAGGCTGCATTAATAACAAGGGTGGTGACCATCTCATTCTGCTCCAGTCAAACCACGATCAGTTCTTCTGGGTGCCACACTTTACGAGGCGTAGAGAGAAGTGTGGTGAGTTGGTGTTTCAGTTTGCTTGAGCTGTCATAACTAAGTACCAGAGACTAGGTGGCTTCAACAACAGACATGTATTTTCTCACAGCTCTGGAGGCTGGAAGTCCAATGTCAAAGTGTTAGCAGGGCTAGTTTCTTCTGAGGTCTCTCTCCTTGGCTTGTAGATGGCATTTTCTCCCTGTCTTCACATGGTCTTCCCTCTCTGTGAGTCTCTGTCCTGATCCCCTCTTCTTACAAGGACACCAGTCAGATTGGATTGGGGCCCACTCTAACAACCTCATTTTACCTTGATTACCTCATTAAAGACCTTATCTCCAAATAGGTCACACTCTGAGGTACTGGGCATTAGGACCTCAACATACAAATTTGGGGGGGGGGCGGGCGGGGGCACAGTTCAGCCATAACCGATGGGGTGGTGCTAAACCTGGAGGAGCACAGATGGATCCATGACGCCTTCTTTCGGCTACAGAGCTGTACTGTAGAACGACAATTAAGATCTTTCAAAGACAGAACCAGGATGAATATATACAAGTGGGTAGAAAACAGATCTGCTCAGCATCAGAGCCCTTACTAACATTCAGAGCTACTCAAACACTGAATGGGTGGCCTCAGAGAGGCTCCGGGACAAGCCAGATGGTCACTCAGAAGGTCTGAACACCGAAAGAGGGCTGGGCTGGCCAGCTGTTGAGGTCTCTCCCAACCCTGAGATTTTGAGATTTCCTTCATACTCTTTAGTGTTTATCTGGGTCTGAGCTTCAGATGTAGGGACTATATGTCCATGTCAGAGGGTAGTACAGAGCCACACACATGCCAACTTCAGATGCATCAACACAGATACACAGGAGACAATGCCCCTCCTAATGATGTGCAGCCCCCGACTCACAAGAGGATGGAAGACTGAGTGAGCAGGTCTAAACGTGGTCATCTTGGGTGGCCGACATTAGCAGAATGACACAGTTCTCCTGAAGTCCTAACAGCAAAGGGTCCCAGTGTCTAAATTCAGAGAACTGAATCTCTCCTGGATCTGACAGTAACCTAGAGTGCTTGAAGCACATCTTTCTAATGGTTTCTTGCCAACAGCTTTCCCAGCTGAGACACTGGACGAGCCAGAGCCTTATAAACTCGCTTCAGCATTAAAGTAAGTTTTTTGGAAGGTGGGTTATCCAGGTTCCCAGATAACTTCGGCTTCAAGTCATGGTGTACCTTCAAAGTGTCACCCCTCTGACTCCCAGACTAGACCCAGCTGCACAGACCAGTGTCCTCTCTGTCCCTCTCTGTTCTCTTTGGAAGTGTGGACATCCTTGGGGTTGGGGTGGGGATGGCAAGTAGGGGCTGCATGGACCTGCTACAGCCCCTGTAGGGTGATGCTCAGAACAGAACCAGAGCACCAGACCAGGGAACAGTGAATCCTTCACACATTCCTGAGGAAATAGCCACTTCTGCTCATCGCAAGACAGGTATCTTTTTTTTGTGTGTGTGAGGAAGATCAGCCCTGAGCTAACATCCATGCCCATCCTCTTCTTTTCTTTGCTGAGGAAGACCGGCCCTGGGCTAACACGTGTGCCCATCTTCCTCCACTTTATATGGGACGCCGCCACAGCATGGCCTGACAAGCGGTGTATCAGTGCACGCCCGGGATTCGAACCCGGGCCGCCAGCAGCGGAGCGCCTGCACTTAACCGCTACACCACGGGGCCAGCCCCGCAAGACAGGTATCAAAGTATGTAAAGAACTTCCTGCTTCCAACTCCCCTGCCTGGGTAGAGGAGAGCCCAAGGCAGCAGCTCCCAAATCACCAGCAATGTGCAGCCCTCCCAGTGACCAGAGCTGGACGACATCCACTGAGACCATGTCAAAGCATCTTCCCCACATCCCGGGCCACAGGTAAGGCAGTGCACGCCACCATCCACAAACGTCCCCTGCTCTAGAAACAAGAGGGTGTCAGGACTGCGGTGTGACTTTTGTGGGCCCGGGGCACTTTTGCTTCCATGGGCCTCTTCCTCCATAAAAAGTATTTAACACTGTATTTTACAACTGCCTTGGCATAAAGACAAATATATTAACATTATATATTAAAGTACTTCCTTCAACTTAGAAGTTTGGTTTTGTCTCCCTCTCATATTAAGAGAAAGGGAAACATTTTCATCGGCCCCTAAAAGTGTTATGGCCCTCGGCACTGCTCCTGCTCAGCTAATGGAGAAGTTGGCCCCGGGCAGTAAGAGCGAGGAACGGATTCTAATCTGGAGAGAGGAACGTAACAACATAGGGAGTGGTGGTAGTGGTGGCCGGTGGTGTGGGCACGACGTCTGAGTCCAGTTGTGATCATGTGGGGTCTGACGTGCCTGAGAGACATCCCAGCAGAAGCCACAGTCTGAGAAAGACACAAACCAAGAAGGTCAGGGATGAAGATACAGGGGTAAGAGTCACTGGCGTGCAGGTGCAGTGAAATCCTGAGAGCGGCTGAGCCAGACTCCTGGGGACAAACAGCATTCGGGGGACGGGCCCTAGAGGAGGAGCACCCAGAAAAACATGGAAAGGATGGGTCAGGGTGGAGGGAGGAGAACCCGAAGAGAGAGGTAAAAGGGTAAAACGTGTGCAGGAGGAAGAAATGATCAAGAAGGTCCAACAACCTGAAGGAAAAATAGGGACTGGATTTGGATGTCTGGAGGACACTGGCAACTTCTTCAAATTGAGGCAGAACTGGAACAGG